GGGATCAATTACCCCAGGACTTATCATAAGTCCTTTTAGAGTAGAACTGCGTCCCAATAATACGCCTACTGTTCCTTTGGGAAGAGGTCCTTTTACCCCTGTGGGAATGATTTGAACTCCCATCTCTGGAGTTAGTACTGTTGAGGCGCAGATATCCAACCCTGCGCTCCCTCTGGTGTGTCTGATGAGGGATCTAATGGACAATGTGTCCTGGGCACTACCCTGATGGGGTTGCTGGGTTCCTCCAGTGCTCTATATATTTGTGGTTTTGGGCCCCAGAGCATTGGGCCCCCCTGTCCATTTTTTGGCAATGGAGCCCGATGCCTTTCTCCACTATATCGTGGATAAACACCTGGTCCTTGTTCATTTTTTTGATAATGGAGTACCCTCTATGGTGGTTTGAGAACGGCATTCATTAGCCCAATGTCTCCCTCTACAGCATCATGGGCAAATACCAGGTATTCTACTCCTTTGATACCTAGTTTTGTTAAATCCTCCTCCTATGGGGCAATTCCTTTTAAAAAGTCCTGTTTGTTCATAATTGCAGCATGTTCTTGGCCTGGCATCTAAAGCCTGTTTTACTGCAGCCACCACGACTTCCCCTTGTTCATTAATGTCTCTACACAATTTAATATATGTGTTTAAATCTTCATGTTTCCATGGTCTGATGACTTCTCTGCACCAATGATTCGCTTGCTCATAAGCCAGTTGTTTTATTAATGGCATTGCTTGTTCTGTATTCCCAAAAACTCCTGTAGCTGTTTGAATAAGCCTATCTAAAAATTCAGCGTAAGGTTCATTAGCTCCTTGTATTACCTTAGATAGTTGACCTTGTAAACCTCCGTGCCCTTGTAAAGTCTTCCATTCCCTAACCGCATCTGCAGCAATTTGTGCGTATATGCCAGGACCGTATGCAATTTGTTGCTGCTGATCCTCATAAGGTCCCTTTCCTAACAACATATCTAGATTTCTCTGAGGATAACCAGCTGCTGCATTTTGCCTAGCCGTCTCCTTGCAAAATTCCTCATTGGCAACCTTCCATAACAGGTATTGTCCTGCATTTAGCACAGCTTTACACATATTAGTCCAATCTGCTGGTGTCATGATCAAGTTGGTAGTGGATTCAACCATGCTTAGTGAAGGGTGCTTGAGGACCATAGGTTGTTACAGACTCTTTTAGCCGCTTCACTTTTTTGAAATTTAAAGCATGGTGAATTCGCTGCCCTCCTGCCTCAAATACAGGGCGTGTTAATAGTTGGGATCCTGAGACAGGATATCAAATATCAACTGCGGGGGTTGGGAGCCTCCCAGCATGTGGAGGTGGCGCTGTTGGTTGGACACTTACGCCCTCTGGTGATAGAAAGGTGTAAGTAGCAGTCTCCTGTTGTAACTTTTCCCCTGATGGCTTTTTCTGCTCTAAACTTTCTTCCTCTGTCTGACTAGCTCAAGAGACCTTCTCTTTTACTTGAATCAATATGTCTTCTCC